CTAAAGCTGTTCTTAGGAGCCTAAAAGTAGAAATATGACAATAAGGTACTTCACTGACAATGTTACAAAGGACAAATTTCCTCATTATGGAAGTCAAAAATCTGGTAACCGTATGACAGAGGTAGCACCAGGACAAGTTGCTCTGCATTTGACTTTGTGATTGAACCATGAGATCACCGTCAGTAGTTCACAAAAAGCTGTATGTTAAAAAACCTCCCACACACCCTCACATTTTGCAGGTAGATATATCGGAGAACCTACTTTCAATAAACAGTTTATTTTATTACAAGACCTGTTTATTTTGTTAAAAAAGTAAGCGTGAACACATTCTCCAAGTTGTTTTGGTTTGTTTGTTTTTTTTAAAAAGCACATATGTAACTATAAACTATCCAAAAAGTAACTTCAGTTATTACAGTTTAGAATACACTGAAAGAAAATCTCTCCTGAAATATCTGAAGAATCTCTACTTTATTAAGTACCTTACCCAGAACATTCAAGCAACATAAAATTATAATAAATGTTTAAGGACCTTGGGGACTTTTCATTTCCACAACTTAACATTCAAAATAACGAGTCACCTTTACAGTTATTTCATCATTTTGGTTTCAACTGATGAACATGCTTTCTATAAATGTAGATATGCCAATTTTAATTTTTTTTAAAGACTCTGTAAATTGCTCTGTATAAACAACATTATAGTAATGTTCAATGCCCCTACAAAAATAGGTGTCCTGTCCATACTGACACCCTTTGGTCATCCAGAAAAAAGTAAGTGACCATAAACTGACCACCTAGTACTCACCTCAGTGAGAAATTTATTGTGTTTTAGTGACTTGTGTATCTCTGAGTTTTCAGTGTTTTTCAGGCCACCATGACACAGATGTACGGAGAAAATGTAACCAACCAAAGGGAAGGAAAAGGATTCGCAGACACAAACCGCTATGGGGATGCTGCTCTGGACAGTGGCATTTCCTGACTTCTCCTTCCACCCTAGAAGATGGATCCTCAAGCCTTTCTCAGTCCCGGATCCAGAGCAGAAGTGAAGGGATTGGCACAAGCTCGGCACAGGAGGCAGCATTAACTGCATTGGCTCAGTTCCCCTCCCTCTCCACAGAAGAGTGGAGCACAGCATCTCAAGTAAACCAAACTTTATAGTGATGCAGCTTGAAGAACAAAATAAATTCAACACTTTAGTATACAGACACGGTCTAAAACGGAATCACAAGAGAATTAAACACACTAAGCTGCTTCGACTCTGCTCATGTTTATAGATTTTCTGATGTTGCGATCTCCTCATCTGAAGGAACTGTACTTGCCTCTGCCAGCTCGTACAAAGTTCAGAGCAACTGAGAGTTTCCTTTTCTCTATTTACTGAGGAATTTCCCTATCTGCAAATGGGTAACAGAAGGCTGAAACTGTGATTAGGTTTGTGGTGAGCCTTCTGCACAGGGATGAATTCCATTCATAGTGGAACTCTGGGAAGAAAATGTAAGTTACCAAGGAGGAATAAAAACTGATTAATAAATCGACACACTGGAAAAGACCAAGTCTGAATAAAGCCTTCAAGGAATTTTAATTTTGACAAAAGTCAAATTTTTTACATACTAAGAAAGCCTGATTTATTTATTTATTTTATTTATTTTTATTCTGTGAAACACAACTAAAGCTCCGAACAGAGAAGTTTGGAGGTGGTCTTCAAACACAATCAGGACAGTTTTGCTCTTAAGTAGGCATTGTCTCATTTTTAGAGTGAAACTCCACAGTCTTGCAAAGAATGAAGACAGGTCATGTGCAATTTTGGAAGCAGCCCCATAACAAGCATGTTTAGCAGCCATGTCTTGGCCTGGTAAGAGCCCTCCTGGAGTGCCAGATACAACAAGCATTTGAAAAAAGTGGAGAGAAGGCTAGGTACAAGTACGGGTAGCAGAGCTTCCGTTTCAAAAGAAATACCAAGAGAAACCAAAGTAATTCTAAAGCTAAAAGTGACAAAGGAATAATTAAAATAACACCAGACATTCAATAGCTGGTAAAATTTCCTGGAAAAAAAAAAAAAATTGGCTTAATATTCGAAGTCCTAAAGGCGATGAAGTCGCAGTGTATGATCCTCCCTCGCACAGGACACCTTTTTATTGGCACAGAAGCCAAGGCTCAAAGGTGACTGATTTGCAGACCGTATTCCAAATGAGATGGCTCATGGCCAGCAAAGCAAAAACCCAGGGTGACTCACCACCAGAAAGAGTTACAGAAGCAAAGGCCAGTTGCTGCTGTAGCGCTAAGGGTTCACATACAAACAAGTGCTCTCTATGAAAGTGAGCTTTGGACACAAAGCAAACAGGATCATTTGAAAATAGAGGCCAGTTAAAGCCTGACAACAGCATCACTTCTTACTGTGTGTATTCCCAACTGGCAGATCTGAGTCTAGCTACCCTGACTGTAATGAGATAAATGAAAAAGCCTTCTCTCCTTTCTTTCCTTTTAAACACAGGCAGATAAACTTCTAATTTTGTCACCATATTTGCCTGTCTGGTCAAGTAAGTGTAAAAAGGAAGTGGTGTCACCCAAATTGCAAATTCATGAAAACCAGATGAATTCCTTCAGAAATGCTGGCACAAAAAAAAACCTGCCGTGTCCCAAGACATCATAATTCTCTTTGACATCTACGCAGGCAAAACCAGGACAACAGGAGACCCTGCAATAGCAGCATGGCCATAACTGTGTGTTTTCATCAGAAATGATACCTGATCCTTCAGAAGCAGGCACCTGGGAATGTCCTGTGAGGCTTTAACCTATCCTAAGCGACCCCAAAACACTCCCATTGCAGCTGTTCCCTGTAGCACATCTCCAGTATGGACCATCAAATCCAGATCTTCCCAATCCGATTACCACATCCTAATCCAGCAACAAAGACTTTCTAGTATCTCCACTTTACCAAGCCTACTGCATCCCATGAGAAATGAGAGACCTCTGGTTTGAGACAAGCCTTTGGATTTACAAAGATTTTGTAAACGCCAGCTGAGATAGAAGCATCACCAGAAAGAAACATCTATTATTTTTGCAGTTTTTCTAAACTCCCTGAGGATTAAGAGCCCAAAACCTCTCTTGAAATAGGTATGTTCAAGGGAGAGCTTCAAAGGACGGTGTGCTAGATGACATGGTAAAGAAAACAGTTGCTCATACCTTTTGGGTAGAAAAACTGCTTGCAGATTACTGGTTGTTAGAATTTATTTTCCACTTCCAGAAGTTTCCTTTTGGTCTTTACTAGTAGGATGCACAGGTTATTGTTTAGGACCAAAAGCATCAAGAACACACATACCTTTTTTTCTTTTCTTTTTTTTCTTTTTACTTCAGCTATTTATACCAAGTATTTATTGACTGTTAGAATGGTGCAGACCATCCACTTCTGGTATCAGCTCTTGACATTTTAACAGGATTTTTCTTCCTCTTTTCCCGACTCAAGCAGCAGTGTTTTGCTCAAATTGCATGGTATCTATTTTCAGAACAACTATCAAAGGAAGCTGGGATTAGATGTTTTCTAAAAGAGATGTTTTCATACCACTACTGAAACAACATCCTGCATTTCTTTCTTATTTAGCAAAGAATGAGAGATGGAAAAATAGGGAAGCAGTCAGATGACAGGGATGCCAAGAAGCCTCCACGAAGAGGTTAAAAAAAAAAAAAAAAAAAAAAAGAGAGGTAGTGAGCTCAGAGCAGTGTGCTGCTGATACGGTTGCAATGGATAGCATGCTTGTGGTGATTACTGATGCAACATCCTATTTAAGGGGTCATTCATTGAAAGTCTGAACCCCCATCAAAATGCTGTGACAAAAGAGCAACTCCCATTTAGTTTGAAAATTAATCTCGTATGAAATCAGGCAAGTAAGAATAATAGGAAATTGGAAACCCACTCCTGTGGATCAGGATAGCGTGAGGTTAAGAGGTGATGGGACATCATAAGAGGACTTCTCTATACTACACAGTTTTAACTTGGGAGAAATCTCCCAAAAGCTTCTGAATCTCTCCTTGTACAAACAACAGAAGTATCTGTTGAAGTGATAACTGAATGATAAATTGGTAAAAACGTCTGGAACAGACAGAAAGCACACTCTGAGGGGTGGGAGTTGGTTGGTGGCTTTGTCACAGCCACTGTTTTACAGACCATGGTGCTTCTCAAAAGCTGGTAGAGTGAACAGGACTGGCAGGAAAGGCAAGGCTGGATGTAGTAATAACAAAAATCCCAATTATAGTCACTGCACACAAGCTTAAAAATAGCGGGAGGCTGCTCACTGTGCCAAGCCCCATCTATATGGCTTTAAATATGTCATAGGCAGTTCCAGAAATATCAGCAACAGCATTTCCTAGACAGTGCTGAAGGTAATTAATGGAGATGGGCTGCTAGTTCAGCCGTGGCACGCAGAGCTGCTGATGCAGACTTCTTCAGGCTGTGCAAGACTTTAGGTCCTAGTGCAGGAAGAGTAGAAATGATTGTGAACACAAGGCAAGGTCAGCTAGGGATGGAGCTACACAAGCAGGCTGCATGGAATGGCCTCTGGCATTTGGAAATAAACATTGGGACTGGTAGAGGTTCACACAAAAAAAAGGAGACACTGCAATAAAACTGCCACTCTCTCCCATTGTCATGTTTGCTCCACCTTCTGGCAAATGAACATCAACACTGGACCTGAAAGTTGCCCAGGCCGAGTTTCTAGTCGTGCAGAGAATCCTCACACAGCCTTTACCTGACAGAGTAATAATCCTTTTCAGGTTTCCTACCAAAGAACACCCGCAGGGTTCTGTCAGTCTGTGGTACATAGCTTCTATGAGACAGATTTATTGTAGTGCTCTTGTTTCACAACCCTCTTTCTTCTACTTATCTGTCAAAGGCGTAACTTAAAACTCTTAGAGAGGAACTATAGTTCTTTAAAATACTCGTTGAAAGCTGGACACTTTGTGCAATACTTAGCAAAAAAATAACAGAAAATAAAAAACAAAACAAAATTTGAGCAAAACAAAATCAAATTTAATGTTCTTAAATGCAAAAGTAAAAACAAACAAAAAACACAAAAAAGCAAAAGAAAATTAACAGAAACAGAACAACTCAAAGTTTCAAGGCAGTCTGCAGAAAACTTGGGGGATTAATCTTTAAATCTACAAATCAAAGGGTTTTTTCGTTAATATCTAACTTGCAAGTAGTAAGTACTTTTCTGCTGAGTGTTCAATAAGTAAAGCTAGTTGTCAAAACAAAATCCTATTCAAATAGAAAAATCTAGCACTCATTAGAAGGGATGCGAGAAATACAATGCTCAAATGTTTATAACTGTTTTTTCTTTACAAAATAGAACTACCAAAAGAATTCAAACTATAATGATCTTGGAAAATAAGTATCTTGCTGCATTATAATGTACCAGTAAGTAGTGCACCATGCATTAAATATTTGGACAGAAGAGATTCAGTTTGATAAAGTAGCAACATATATTCACACTCTCTTTTTGGAGTTTCATTTTGACTCTGAAATCTTCCCGGAGTTTCTTTGAAACTCTTTGGTCCATTCCTATTAGAAAGTGGGCTTTAAAAGTAATGTTTCTAAAACCTTTGAATTTGACAGCTTGGCCACTGCTCAGTGTGCAACTTACCTCATCAATGGTGTTAAAAGTTATGCTGGCATGCTACTACTTACAAGACCTTGACTTTAAAAAGCCTAATTCTCAACTATACATGTAGTAATGAATATTAATTGATCAAACAATTTACTGTCAACTAAAACATTAGTATTTCTCAACTTTTCTTCCATACTACCAAGTCTGGGGTAGAGAAGGTCAGGGGAAATGGGTAGGAAAAACAACAACATAAAAAAAAAAAGAAAAAAAAACAAGAAAATGAATTAATTCAGCCTGATATTTTTCAGAAAATTCCAGTTTTTGCAGACAACATTCAATGGAACAAATGTTAGTCTCATAAGTGAAAGCATGCTTCAATTTTACCACCATCCAGAGGGTCTAGTTAATGCAATCTACTTAAGATTTCAGGGAATTTTTAACATGTTTTAAATGAAATAACTTAAAGGAACTTAAAATTGGTCTAACATTGTGGGATTTCAAACATTTGAACATGTCAGTTGCATCCCAGAATATAAAACCTTTTTCACTTCTCATTTAGACTAAGACAAACACTTGTGAAAATTGGCGCAAAATGAGTTTTACACTAACAAAAATGTTTCAACTTCTGTCACTCAATTATCTATTCCATACAAAAAGCACGAGCAAGTTATTTGTGGGACTTGTTGGTTTTGAAGGAAACCTGTAAGATTTTGTCCCCCAGGCGGTAGCCATTAAGACTTGCTATGGCCATTGCAGCTTCTTCATAGTTTGTCATGGTCACAAAACCAAAACCTTTGCACTTGTTGGTGTTGAAATCTCGAATAACTTTCACATTGGTAACCGCACCAAAGGGGCCAAACATCTGCCAGAGGATTCCCTCATCAGCATCTTGACCAAGGTTGTAGATGAAGATACACCAGCCAGAAGATGCGTTTCCTGGAACATTTACACCAGAAAGCCCACTCATGTGATCTACACCCATAGGAGAGAACCTAGCAAATAAAAAGCACAATATTTCATGTAAAAGTTCAATTCAATTAAGCAAATTAACTTGAATGGGAAGCAACTGAGAATGAATAATTTTTACATGGACATCAAAACCGCCAGAAAGAAATGTTTCCCCATTCAAATTGACAATCACATTGACAGCTGCCAGGAAAAAAAAAAGAGTTAAGTATTCCAACTACTTTATCAATAGGGAACTATCCTTAGAAATAGGTAGGCACAGCAAGAAGATGTGATCACCTTCACAGGGGACCTGGATCAATCTTTGAAACTCAGCCAGGGTGTTAAGAGCGCTCAGTGGCATCAGTGCAGAATTGCTCGAGTGCAGAAAACAGCAACAGCTCCCCAGAGGCCCCAGCTTCCTTCCAGCCACCCTCGGGCATCTCCCACTTATTGCACTCAAGGAGTTTGCATCCCATACCTTGCTTTTCTTGTCTCTAAAATAGCATGTTAGGAACTCTTAACTCAAAATGTTTCTTTGGGTTTTTCTGGGGAAGGGGTGGAGGGGGGTGGTGGCAGGAGGAGGTGTTTTGGCTTTAGGAGTAGAGATTGTCCGTCTTAATTTAAATTTCAGTTTTGGTGGAACAGAACAAAACCTACTCTCTTTTCCACCATAAGGCAGCAGGAGGCAAACACTCCCGAACAAACCTGTCATTTTTAGGTCTTGCTTTGTATTATTTCCTTTTCTCCTATAGCCCACATCTCTAATTTCCCTTTATTCTACTTCTGGTCTCTGTCCTAGAAATTCAAAGCTTCAGAGTATTTTAATGCAATATTACAGTTGCACAGCTAAGCACTCAAAAGTCAGGAAATGTGAAAGTTAAGGTAAAAAAAACCCTCAATTTGATACCTTGTGCTTATGTATTATTGAAAAATGTGAGGTCATGTGATTGTAACTGTAGAAATATAATTATAGTATACCAGGGGTTCCCAAACTGCAGTGTACCACTGGTGAGATGCAAACCACTTCAAAGCGGTACACGTGCTGCCCTCTGCCAAGAACATGGCAGTGGCAGCTCCTGATTCTCTGCTGACCTGGAGAACACACGGAATGGATGTCTGGGCAGTGAACTCTGCAGGAAGTGCCAAACACTTCCCCCACTGACTTTTTTTTTTTTGTCCTGTGTAGAGACAGGAGCTGCTACTGCCTATGTAGAAGGGAGGACCCAAGGCAACGTGTGTCAGAGGGAAGGGGAGCAGAGCTGCAGCAGCACACACGTACACGCAGGGACGTCAGTTCATGTTCAGTGTGGCACTTTGGTTGATGCACTTGCGCAAAACCACTCAGTCATCATCTCCCCAACCCAGGCTCTCCAGTGCTTGGAGCACATTTCCTTGGACACCTGAGCTATCAGAGCCTCCTGCACCCAGAGCAGGGGGAGGTTTGGTGGCACAGACTCCTTCCCCTCCATTGCACCCTACTGCTGCTGACTGCCTGGGGTCAGCCAGGCTGCAGCCCCACTGGCTGCCTGGCGCTGGTGTTTCCAGAGCACAGCGCAGACACCGCTGAGCTCACACTGCACGTACTCGCTGCCACTGCTGGCCAGCCCCAAGCAAATCCAAGTTTGGGAATCCTGGTACTATAGTAAAACTAAAAAGGCAGTTTAGAGTATCAGAATGTGAATGAGATGCACTAATCCATGTGATCTGATGATTATGTGACATATCTACTATCTGTTTTGCTTTCCTATATTGATGTTCCTGTGTTTGCATGCTTTATCCACTTACTTTTTCTGACAGACAACTTCAGCTCTGTAGCTTTTTTTCCATTTGAGTAATGATTTGGTAGGATATATTTATCTTAATATCTGGAAAGTTTTCATCTCAACAGATCACCAGCCTTGGGTTCCTGCTTACGTGTATGGGGAGCAGAAAATCACTAAGCTCAGAACTGCACGATGTTGGTTCCAGCAGTGAGTATAGCTCTGAACCTGCTCGCTACAAAGCCTCAGGCTCTGCCCACAAGCCCAGACCAACAATACACCAAGGACTGGAAACACTTGTAGAAGAGCAGCTGGGGGCTGAACACGGGAAGACAAATCTAAATGCATTATAACAGGCAAAGGAATTTAAAATAGCAAGTACCTCTGTTCTTTGGATACTCTGATTTTCAAACAGATTCTCCACATCTTGCTTTGACTCACAAAAATGTTACAGGTTTATTAAAAAAAACAAAACAAACAAAAACCCACCAAAACCCCCCCAAAACCCCAAAAACAGGGTAAAAATATCCCTAAAAGACTTGAAGTCATCTCAAAAAAACAACCATAGGAAATATCACCTCACACATAATATCCTGCTTACCCAGATCTAACATGATTCTAAAAGGGAAGCCATACTTTGCAAGTCCACATGAAAAAAGCTTTTCACAAAATCTTCAGTCTGGTTAAAAAGCAATCAATCATCAAAACAAAAAAAATTTAGAAAAGTGACAGTAAACAAGGTATAGGATTAGACTTATGTGGAAGCCTAAATTTACATTTAGACTTGCATCCAGCTGGAAGCATCACACGGGACATCCGGCACGAATGAGAGCACTCGCACAAGAGGAGCGGGCTCCTACTGCCATCAGCTCTCCTAGTAGATCTCTACGCTCACCCTGGATTGAAGGTCTGCACAAGAGGGACACAAGCTCTCCTGGCAAGCATGGGCTACCAGCCTGCACGCAGCCAGGCACAGAGTGACTGACACATAACACCTCTTTGTCCCACAGGAAAAGATTTTTTTTTAACCATACAAATTTAAGGTGACTCTCAGGAAGGTATACTTATTAAGACTTTCTGATTTGGGCAAACAACACTAAAGCTAACAGAAATCCAAGATGTTTCAGAGAAAATTTTTTAAAACTCCATTAATAGTGTAATTTGAATTATTTCAGTCTTATCCTACTTACTCCTGGTGTCCTCATTTTTGCTGCATTTATTTTTATACTGTTTCTTCCACATTGCTTTTTCAGTCCTCCCTAAGCATCTCTGTAGATGGTGTTATCTATGGATGGTTCTTTTAAGGCATGCTAATCTCAAAACTCTAACACATTGTGACATTAAGCATCAACACAGTAAAAGGGTTTTTGTTTTTTTTTCTAATTGCAATCTTTTTCACTTAATAAGGTTCTCATTTATATGAACAAGCTTTTGCTCCACTGTTATGAGACAGACTGCTTCATTTAAACAGATTCTGGGATTATTTTAACACACTAGAGGACATAAAATCAGAAGTGATACTCCTAAATTAAAATCATTTTAATTCTTTTAAAGTCCTATAAATTCTTTTTGCTGAATTCTTTTCCCTGCAATCTGAGAACGGCTGTATACAGGGGGGAGCAATCCCACAGCTTACATAATGCTCATAAGCAGGAATATTTTTTTATATTAGCCTATATTGTCTTCACACGTAAGCTTGGCATTTTTTTTATTTGTAATAGTTCTACAAAGAGGAAGAGTTCAGCTGTGCTGATACTGGTCATGTCCACCATCTTCCCCACAAGCAACCTTCTCTCCTCTACCCTGATACAGATAAAATCATAGAATCGTTTAGGTGGGAAAAGACCTTTCAGATCATTGAGTCCAACCGTAAACCTCACAACACCAAGTCCACCACTAAACCATGTCCCTGAGCGCCACATCTACACCGCTTTTAAACACCCCCGGGGATAGGGACTCCACTACTTCCCTGGGCAACCTGTTCCAGTGCTTGACAACCCTTTCAGTAAAGAAAGCTTTCCTAATATCCAATCTAAACTGCCCTTGTCACAATTTGAGGTCGTTTCTTCTTGTCCTATCGCTTGTTACTTGGGAGAAGAGACCAACACTAACCTCGCTACAACCTCCTTCAGGTTGTTGTAGATAGGAACGATCTATTGGGTTCAAAACAAGTCTTGTGGAGTATTCAGTGATACAAGCTTTAAGCCTGAAATAGGATAATAAATCAAACAGCTGCATGTCAGACAGCAGCAGCAATCAAAATAAGGGGTTTCGGTACCACATTCTTCTAGAACTTTGAAGAAATATTACTTTGGATTAAATGTTTTCTTCTGTGGAATTCTCAACACAGACAACTTGCATCCAAAATTATAAATTAGCTTAAAAGCTGAAAATTTAAACAATTTCACTGGAATGAAACAAAACAAATGTGTGGGAATTGTCTGAGCAATAATTTCATAGACAGAGTTAAACACTCTAGAGTCTTCTCATATTTCCCCTTTATCAAAGAATTATCAAGAAATAACAACTCCCCTTCAGGCATTTTGGACCTAACTCATGGCCTCTGACACCAAGAGAAGTTCGTTCATTAAAATAAGTGGGAACTGGCTCCAACCCTGAACAAGTCTGAAAGCAAAACCAGCTGAACTGGGGATATTTTTGAGATTGGAAAAAACACTCTTCTAGCATAAAGCCCTGGTGAACTGTAAAAGCACAAGTCTTCTAGGAACTTTGGCCAGTCTTCTCAAACTTTTGGAGCTGAACTCCTTAATTTCATCTGAGTTCAGCATCTAAAGACCTGCTATTCTGTTTAAGCAAACAAATCTTACACTCATAAGAAACCCCTGCCCCAGATGTTTTAGCTATTCTCCAAACACAATCCCATACTGCAGCATCATTCCTTCTAGATGGAAACAGAGCACACTTTGGACAGCATGAGCAGGCCAACCCAGCGCTCCAGTGAGATGAGGCATTAAAACCAGTTCCTGATGTGAGCCACAAATGCCGCAGGAACTACAAAGGATTAACAGAACATTGAACAAAGGGTCTGAGTGATGTCTGTAGGAAATTAATAATTACAAGTTAGAGATACTAAAGGCTTAATCCTGGATTTACAGGGATATGATGGAATGAGAAGTAGTGTAATCAAAATGTCAGTTTAAGTATTCAACCTCTACGCAGAAGGGACCACAACTGTAATTTATACAGACTGTGAGCTCTCTGGAAGCAGCTTATCCTTTCATCGTGTTTTGTTCACTACACACAACAAACAAGACTCAGGCCAAGCTAAGGTTCCTAAGCTTCACCACAGTGTGAATAATTATAACTCATTAGGTTCAGCATCCTTCAAGGAAGACTCACTAGAAAAATTTGCAGTTAACATCAAAGGTGGAAAGAAAAATAAGAAAGGCTGTGTGATGGTGCGTGTGTTGTGCACACGTGTATGTATGTGCACACATGCACGTGTGACTGAGGGACAGAAGTTTTATAATAAGTGTCACAGTTCTTGCAAGTCTGTGACAGGACACAAAGAGAGATGGACAGTTCTTGTCGTCAAATCAACTGGTGAATCTTGTCTCCACAGCACACTTATACCAGCACGGCTTAACCCATAACTGCTCTGTTGCTACCTCTGCCAATCTGCAGTACCTAAAAATCCTCAGGCCTGTCTCCATTAGCAAGCCTGTAAAACGAGGAGCAGAAATTGTCCAAAATGTGTTGACAAATGAGCACTGGGCACAGAAAACTCAGGTGGACACAGTTACCACAGAAGCAGGAACAGAACAGAAGAGACAGAACATTTTCTTTTACCTTATCCCCTCTTGTGAAGGCTCATGCCCGTAGAAACATAGGAAATGCAAACAAATAACATTAATGCTGCTCTGAATGGTACAATAAAGGAACAATAAACTGAACAAAGTGGAACAACAAAGTTGCCATCCAGAGGGACCTTGACAGGCTT